TAAAAAATGGTACTGATATTGTCCAATTTATTAATTTTTCTTTTCATGAATTATATTTTTAATATCAAGTCTAAAAACCTTTGTTGAACCCTTGGAGACAGATTCTCCTACTTTTTTTTCTAAAAATTTTATACTTTTATTTATTTTTAATTAAAAAAATTTTCATGCATATGGGTGTTTTATACCATGTGTGCCTAATGTCTGAGGAGTCCAGGGGAGGGCATCAGATCTCCTGGAACTGGAGCTACAGCTGACTGTGAGCTGCCACGTGGGTGCTGGGAATCAAACCCAGGTCCTCTGCAAGAGCAGCCACTGCTCTGTACAGCTGAGCCGTTTCTACAGTCCCACAAGAGCAGTCACTGCTCTGTACAGCTGAGCCGTTTCTACAGTCCCACAAGAGCAGTCACTGCTCTGTACAGCTGAGCCATTTCTACAGTCCCTGGTTTATATCTCACATTTAGACCTGTGCTCCACACTGAGGTGAATTTTGTATGCCATGTGAAGTTCAGACTGAAGTTTGTTTTTACCTATGGCTGGCCATGTATGTCAGAACTACTTGTTAGAAAGGCCACACTTCTAAGGCAACACACTAAGGCCTTTGCATACTTGTTAAAAATCAGCTGACTTTTTATATTGCTTTGATTTTGGGTTCTGAAGCTACACTCCTAGCCTTTTCACGATTCAAGCCTCCAGCAAAACGCCTGAGTGCCATGCTGAAGTAGCAAGCCTTAACACTGGGCACAGTGCTTTCTTCCATTCTATGCTTTTCCAAAACCGTTACATCTGTTCTGTAATTTTTGTCTCTTATAAATTCCATAACATCTTTATGTGTGTGTATGTGTGTGAAGTTATTTTACACTGTGGTAGATGCAAATAATAGTGTTCATAGCAGTATTATTTTTAATAGTCAGAACCTAGAAACAACCTAGATGCCTCTCAACTGAAGAATGGATAAAGAAAATGTGGTACACTTACACAATGGAGTACTGCTCAGTGGTTAAAAGAAAAAAAGCAATGACATCTTGAAATTTGCAGGCAAATGGATGGAACTAGAAAAAAATCATCTTGAGTGAGGTGACCCAGACCCAGAAAGACAAACTTGATGTACTCACTCATAAGTAGATATTAGACATAAAGCAAAGGATAACCAGTCAGTCAATAGTCCACAACCTCAGAGAAGCTAGGTAACAAGGAGAACCCTAAGAGAGACATACATGGATCCCTGGGATAGGGAAATAGACAAGATCTTCTGAGAAAATTGGGAGCATGGAGAGGGGGGTTGGAAGCAGAGCGAGAGGGGGGAAGGGGAGGAGGTAAGAGGATATAAAGGAACAGGATTGTCAAGATGGAAGAAGGACAGAGGAGGAGAGCAAGGAAAGAGAAATTTTGATTGAGAGAGCCATTATGGGGCTTGCAAGAAACCTAGCACTAGGGAAATTATCAGGGATCCACAAGGATGACCCCAGTTAAGACCTTAAGCAATATTGGAGAGGGTTCCTGAGCTGCCCTTCCCCTGTAATCAGACTGATGACTACCTTAATTGTGACCATAGAACCTTCATCCAGCAACTGATGGAAGCAGATGCAGAGATCCACAGCTAAGCACTGGGCCAAGCTCCCGGAGTCCAGTCAAAGAGAGGAAGGAGCAATAATATGAGCAAAGGGGTCAAGACCACAATGGGGAAACCCACAGAAACAGCTGACCTGAGCTAGCGGGAGCTTACCAACTCTGGACTGATAGCAGGGAAACTTGAATAGGACCAAACTAGGCCCTTTGAATGTGAGTGACAGATGCGTAGCTGGGGACCAGGATTTATCCTTACTGCTTGAACTGGCTTTTTGGAGCCCATTCTCTTTGGAGGGATGCCTTTTTCAGTCTACCTATAGGGCAGAGGGCCTTGGTCTTGCCTCAAATTGATATGTCAAACTTTGTTGACTCCCCATGGGAAGCCTTATCCTCTCTGAGGAGTGAATGGGGGTGGGGTGAAGGGGAAGGTGGAGTGGGGAGCAGGAGGAAGGGAGGGAATGGGAACTGGAATTGGTAGGTAAAATGAGAAAAGATTGTTTTAAAATAAAAAAAGATACATATAAAATTTACCATTTTAACCTTTCTTGCTCTTTTTGGGTTATCTTCCTGTGTTTCCAGAGAAGTCTTGACCTCCTGAACTAAGAGATTCTTATGCCTCAGCCTCCCGAGGAGGTAGGACTACAGGTGAGAGTCACTGTGCTTGGTCCCCTCTAATCACTAAAAAGATTCTTAAATATTGATTTTATTTTGTATGTAGGAGTGTTTTGTCTGCATTTAGGTATGAACACCATGTGCAAAGGTCAGAAGAAGTTGCTGGATCCCCTGGAATTGGAGTTACAGATGGTTCTGAGCTCCCGTGTCAGCACCAGGAACTAAACCCAAGCCTTTTCTAAGAGCAACAAGTGCTTTAAATTGCTGAGCCATCTTTCTAGCTTCCATTTAAACTACCTTTAAAGCACACAGTTCAGCAAAAGTAATTATATTGACAATGCATATAATACAAATGTCTACATTTCCAAACCTTTCCCATCACACAAACCTTTCTAATAATCTGGAGGCAGTAACTCTATGTTCTGCTCCCCGAGTCACTATTAATCTTTATTTTCTGACTCTATGAACCTACATATTCTAGATATTTCATGTAAGTGGGATAATAATAGTGTTTGTCCTTTTGTGACTTTATTATTATTCCACCAACAATGCTTCTGGGAGGTAGCTCTCTCTTTCCGCTATATTTTGTGGCTACACTGGGTCCTAAGGCTAATTGCCCCTATGAACCTCCAGCCAGCCCTCCTGTCTCTGCATCTCATCTTGCTGCAGAGTGCTGGAGTCAAAGACACCACCACTGCACTCATATCTTGTTTTCAGAGGTTCTGGGAGCCTAACTTGGGTCATCAAGCTTGCAAGCAAAGCATTTTCTTATTGCCGAGCCCTCCCCCAGCCCATGTCAGAGCATGTGTCAAAATCTCAGCCACATATCAGCTTCACTCCTAGTTCCTTCATTTCTTTTAAATACTACATCACATTTTACTATACATATATGCCGCATTTTATTTATCTGCTCATTTGCTACTGGTGCTTATTTGTACTTTTGGACTATTGGGAATGATGTTGCTGTGGACATTGGTTTACAAAAATGGTTTATACAAGAACACATGCTGCAATAATTAGGTATAAAGAAAGAGTGGACAAGTTTTTATCAATATATTTAAGACAAGTAAACTACTATCTAGGAAAAAATACCAAAATGACTCATTTAAAAGAAATAAATAGAGACTATCTTAAAAAGTTAATTCAGTAGATTAAAAAAAGTCTCCACAAATAAAACACTAGAATCAAATGACTTAGCAAGTATAGATATTCATATGATTCTAACTTCTTCAAAAGATGAAAGGGGCTGGAAGTGGATGCACAAGCCTTTAACACCAGCAGAAGCAGGTGGATCTCTGTGAGTTGAGGTCAGCCTGGCCTACAGAGTGAGTTCCAGGTCAGCCAGGGCTGCACAGAGAGACTTTGTCTCAGTAACACAACAGTGCAGCACAACCATAGCAGAGATGGAAGAATCCTCCTCAAGTTCTTCTCACGAAAAGTTAGTTCAGGTCAGTTAAGGTACTTGCTGCCAAGCCTGATTTTGCTACAAAGCCTAAGTTTGATCCCCCGTGACCTTGTGGTGGAAAGAGAGAACTGAGTCCTTAAAGTTTGCCTATGACTCTCTCTCTCTCCCCCTCTCCCCCTCACACACACACACTAAAATGTAATAAAAATGTAAAAGATTAATTTAGTTTAGCCTTGACATCAAAACCAATACAAGGATAGGGAAGGAAAATTATTGGACATTCTTAGATGCAAATCAAGCAGATACTAGCAAACTTAATCTTATTATGTATAAACTAAGGAAATAGTACATCATCCCCAAGTTGAATTTATACCAGGTATATAACAGGCCTTGCTTGTACAACAGAGAGAACAGTCCTCATACTCACTGAGGAGGGAAGCTGCAGGATGTTGGGGCTAAGTTAATATGAATGACTATATTCACTTAACACAGGAAGCTTGTGAATATCCAGGGAGAGATGTCAAGGCAGCAACAAAGAATACTGGCGTGACATCTCCATGGGAGCCAGGCTGGAGGCAGCACTAAGAAGCACCACCAAACACCAGTATGATTAAGTCCACCCAGGAACCTCTGTGGAATGAAGCAAGAAGACAACCAAGGCCAGATGTAGGCTACCCTAGTGTTTAATGAAGTCAGTTCTCCAAATGAATGATCAGAAAATAAAGGAAAGGAGAAACACAAAGTAGTGACTCAAGTGGGTGGTATGTGACAGGTGTGGGAAGGAAAAAAGCTATACTGTGGGCTGATGTGTGAGCAGATATGCAAAATACATGTGCACATGCATACAGAGGCAAGAGATCGCTGGGTGTACCTTCCTCAATCACTCCTCTCTACCTTATTTTTTTGAGACAGGGTGTCTCACTGAATCTAGAGCTCACAGACTCAGCTTGGACTGTCTAGCCAGCAAGCCACACAGATCTTCCTGTCTCCTGTTTCCCAGTTCTGGGATGAAGGGCACGCTTTTCTTTTTCTTTTTTCTTTTTTCTTTGAGACAGGGTTTCTCTGTAGCTTTGGGGTCTGTCCTGGAACTAGCTCTTGTAGACCAGGCTGGCCTCAAACTCACAGAGATCCTCCTGCCTCTACCTCCCAAGGGCTGGGATTAAAGGTGTGTGTCACCACCGCCTGGCATGCATGTCCCACTTTTTACATGAGTACCAAGGATGCAAATCCAGTGAGCAAGCCCTGCACTCACTGAGCATCTCTCCAACCCCTAGAACAACATCCACATGCTACTCAGTCTTACGCCAAGAATCCTCAAAGGCAAGGCATCATGGTACCATTCAGTTGCCACTGACTCCAAAAGAGTGAATTTAGTCTTCACTAAATCCATACAGTGAAGTTCAAAAGCATTTCTTACCTGAATTTTGATGGGCCAGGTGAAATTACTGACATAAACAAAGAAAGTAATGTTTGGATGGTTGCGAAAATCAAATTTCTCATTAGAGAAGCTATCTTTGTATTCCTTGATGTTGGTTTTTGAAACAACGGGCATCTCTTCTCCAGTCTGGGTTCCAGCTAAAAGGAAGCAAAGAATGAAAATAAAGACTCTTTTTTGGAAGGGGTGAGGCAGGACAGTAGACAGAGTATTCCCTCGTTAGTAATGAGGGTAATGGTTTACTGACCACTTATAATGGCAAAGGAATAGCCTTTTGAGCTCAGTCTGTATTCCACACAACACATTCTATCCCTCATCCATAGAGTAGAAAATCCGAAATTCTAAGAAATCATTAACTAGCTTCAGGGTTGACAGCCACAGGGAATGGATCTAGGATTGAACCTAAGAAAACTGACACATAAACTTGTATCCAAACCGTCCACACTGAAAATGGCACATGTGGCTATGAAATTATCACCAGAGTCCTTCCTATAAGAGGTACTGGTGGGAACTGGAGAGATGGCCTAAGAGCTAAGAGCATCAACAGTTCTTCCAGATTAGAATCCCAGCACCCACACAGCAGCTCACAGTCACCTGTTATTTCAGTTCTAGGGCACCCAACACCCTCTTCTGAACTCCATAGGCACCAGACACAGTGATGCACAGACATGCATGTAAGCAAAACATTTATACACATAAAATAGGCACTGACATTCACTCTGCACTTAACACTTTATGTCCTTTGTATTTCCTCTTCACACTGTGACATGTGACAGTGCTTCAGGCCTCTGTACCAGGGACATTTATTCATCCATCACTAGCAGGAATGTCCTCAAGTAGTCACTCAGTCCTTCTTTCTGTTACCAGCCAACACTACATTCAGGACCCTAACTAGTATAACATTGTTTCTACATGGCCTCACATTTTATATATTTCATTGGCCAAGATTCTAAATAAATAAATAATTTCTTTGAGAATGATTAAATTTCAAGCACTATAACAAGTACTTCCTTTTTTTCACTTATTCCTTGTAACACTATATTTCAGGCACAGCTGTGAATATGGCCCAACACATCTGTAGCTATCATGTTGCATCATAAGAAGGTTGGATACACTAATACATAACAAGGTATTTTTACCACATCATTTCATAAGAAGGAAACGATCAAAAAATGGAGGTAACCTGGGGCTGGAGAGATGGCTCAACAGTTAAGAGTACTGGTTGTTCTCCAGAGGACCTGAGTTCAATTATCAGGACAGACGTGGTGGCTCAAAATTGACTGTAACTCCAGTTGGGAGGAGGGAGGGCACCCGATGCCCTCTTCTGGCCTTCTCAAGCACTGCACATACATGGTATATTTACATACACACAGGCAATGGCAAACATAGAATTAAATAAAACAAACTTAAAAACCAATTTAAAAAGAAAAGGAAAATATGATAACTTGTTCAACACCACAGTGCAGGTAAATTCAAACCAAGGTCTATCTACAGAGTTATCAAGTTATGGAGTGGTTTTCTATTTTAACTGCTATACTACGGCCATCAAAATTGTAATGAATCACCATAAAATAAATAAGAAAGGAAAAGCTGTACTTTTAAGACTTAGTTTAATTCCCAAAGTATGGTATACATATTAAAATATGTATACATATTAAAATCCCTTTTCATTGAAAGAGTTTTCATTTCTTAAAACTTTGAGTCATTTTAATTGTTCACCTAATGAAGAACAGAGAGAGATTATCATAGCACTAGAGGTGGCAGCAAAGCAGAGAGTGACTGCCCACCAACCCACACCTATGATGTTGGAGGCAAAGACTGAGATTATTCATTCTGAGTAATCCTAAGGTTAGACAGGAGTCTTATTTGCTCGTTCAAGGTGTATTGGCTACCAAGTGGCAAAGGTGGACTATGAGCTCATTCATTTAGCTCCAGAGGCCACTTTCCCAACTCCTATACTACATTTGCTAACCCATCATTCCTCTAGGTGTGTCTTTTACCTGAGAAGCTGGTAGCCCAGGTGATGTTGAGGTTGAAGTTTTTGGAGGCATTGATGAACATGTCCAAGTCCCTGTTTTGCTGATGAGAAATGCACACGATTAGGAAATTGTTAACACTTCAGATTTTAAGACACAGCAACAAGCAGGTCACAGTGCTCTCAACCATCTCAGGAGGAGCTCGTGCTCAAAGAGGTGGCAACATTTCTTGTCAGTTTTTCTCAACACAAGTAAGAAGATGAAGATAAAATTTCATTTGGCTCCCATAGAAGTGTGAAATCCAGAACTTTATGAGATGTCAGCCCCATGAAAAGGACCCTCGCCTTGTGCCATCTGTCAGAGAAACTTATGTTCAGCATTTCTGAGTAGCTGTTCCCAAATGCCCAAGGTTCCTAATTACCAGGAAGAAATCTGATCTAGAGGTCCAATTTCTACTTATTTATTATAACTGAAATCCATATTATTAATCCATATATTATAAACTGTCTCTCAAATAGGAATTGGTTTCTAAAACACTTACAACAGGTCAAATGTACTAAATTTAAAACATAATTTATATTCATCCTTGAATTAAAAAATATTTCACTTACCAAAATTACTATAAGAAAAATATGTCTGAGTATGATTTCTTAGCTTTGACAATGTTGCTTTCCATTCACAGCAGTTCAAAGTGCCAGTTTCATTTTGATTCTTGGTTTTAATAACTGAAGTTTTTGTGGAGCTAGACAGAAGTCACTGTTGGTAAATTCTAATGATGTTTTTAGTTTTCACTGAAATTTCACTAACAAATCTTTTTTGGGGCCTACAGTGATTTGAGTGTGAATGGCCTCCACAGACTCATGTGTTTCAATGCTTGGTCCCCAGTTGGTAGAACTGTTTGGGAAGGGTTAGGTGGTGTGGCCTTGTTGGAAGTGAGTCATTAGAGGTGGGCTTTGAGGTTTGAAAAGCCTATGCCATTCCCAGTTAGTTCTTTCTTGCTCTTTCTTCTACTTGTGGATAAGATGTAAGCTCTCAGCTACTGCTCAGCACCATGCCTGCCTGCCTGCCTGCCTGCCTGCCTACTGCCAGACTTCTCCCTGCTTTGATGCTCACAGAATCTAACCCACTGGAACTGTGAGCCTCAAATTAAATGCTTTCTTTTAAGTTCCTTAGACATGGTGTTTTGTCATACAAATAGAAAAGTAATTAAGACAGGACAAAATAATTGCTTTGCAAACCAATCAGATGCTATATTCTTTTTGGAAAAAATGTTATTTTATATGTATTGGTGGTTTTGCCTGCATATATGTCTGTGTACCACGTGCATGCCTCGTGTTGAAGAAAGTCAGAAAAGGGAATCAGATGCCCTGGAACTCTAGATACAGACAGTTGTGAGCTGTCCTGAGGGTGTTGAGAATGGAACCTGGTCTTCTGCAGGAGCCGCCAGTGCTCTTAACCACTAAGCCATCTCTTCAGCCTTAGACGCTGCATTCTTATTTTTATAACTTAATCCAACCATGCTAGAAATGCTCATTTTTAAAAAGATATTTAAAACAGGTTAGAAAATTATGATTTTTCTTTTTTATAAAAAGCATCATTTGATAGTTATGCCAGAAAACCACAATGGAAACATTTGCAATGCCATTTTCAAAATTGTGATTTCTAAATGAGAAAATTCTCTCACAGCGCAGGGATTGCATTCAAGAAAATTTTATCTTCTTTTGCAAGGGAGATGTATGTTTATTTATTTATTTAACAAGTATCTGCTGACAGCACACAGTTAACAGCTACTTCTTCCCATGATATGGACTAAAATCCTTGTCATTTTGTAAAAGATACAAGTGTTTAGATAAACCTAGTAAGAAATCTTTCATAAAACACACCAACCATCTTGTTAACAAGCATTATAAAATTCTACAATGCTTATTTGTTTTGACAGAGTATAGCTCAGGCTGATCTTTACTCACTATGTAGCTGAGGCTGGCCTTGAGTTGCTGATTTTCCTTCCCCCATCTCCCAAGTACTGAGACTACAGGTACAGTTACCATATGTTTACTTTAAAAAATAAAATGAACACTATCAAGTACACCCTGAAAGACTGACGAGCACTTGCTGCTGTAACAGAGAGCCAGGGTTCAATTCCCAGAACCCTGGCGCCAGAGAGGTAGCAAGCAACTTCACTAGCCATGAAACCCCACTGGGCCATACCTTCAGAATTAGCATCCAGCCTTAATCCATCCTTTGCATTACAGATACCTATGTGAATCTTGTCTAAGAGTTTCCCATGGACACAATGCAAAACTTGGTTTAGAGGGAAACCGTGGTACCTCTTTGGAAGCTTCATTCAATGTTTTGAGATATGGAAATCTACTAGCTAACGTGTAAACATAGGGAAAAATAAAAATGCCAAGGAGCCAGGGAAATGGCTTTAATCCACAGAGATGAGCCCCCTGCAGCTGAAAGGCTAAATTTATTCTCAAGGTGTCTCTGAGTCTTCATTTCATCGACCGGCATGAATCCACACACCCGTGCTGTAATACCCATGATGTTATACCCACGACAACTCCAGTTGCAGGGGATCCAATGCCCTCTTCTTGCCTCTACAGGCACCAGGAAAACATACATGTGGGCAAAACACCCATAAAAATAAAACAAAATAATTTTTAAAAATTAAGGTGCATCTGCAAAACTTTGCCATAAAGTAATTTAAGATTGCTTACATTTACTTAAAGAGCTGTTCACCCTTAGGAACTAGAGAAACAGCCTAGCAGTTAAGAGCACTTACTACTCTTGCAGAGGACCCTGGGTTGGTTCCTAGCACACATATGGTCTGTAACTCCAGTTCCAGGGGATCCAACCCCTACTTTTGGCCTTCACAGGCACTGTACACATGATGTACAGATATACAAGTCGGTGCAGCATTCATTACATAGTAAATAAATTTTAAAAAACTGTTCACTCAATAATTTGTCTTCTTAATACACCATCATGAACATTATTCTACTACTACTTTAAAAACTCAGTGATGTTCACTTTGGAGTAGGAAGAAGATAAAATGTGGAGTCTAGACATTACCTTGTTCCCTGAGGAACTACTGCCTGAGAAGAGGGAGCCTGAGAAAAGGCTACCTGAGAAGAGGGAGTCATTTTCTGCAGGGCTGTAGTCACTGGCAGGGTGCCCATGCACCAGTAAATAACCTCCCACCCATGCTCTTGCAATCTGCAATAAACTAATTAAATTGAGGGGGACACACATACACACACTGCACACATGCAAGGGGGAAGGTGACTTGTTGGTAGTATAACACTGTCAAGTAAATGAAAAAAATATGTAAAAGATTACCATGTATATTCCCACCCTGATACTATTCTGCTACTATGCAGTACTTCTGTTCAGGATGACCAAGGTAAAAGACCCATACAAAACTCAACACAAAATAAGACAACTTGAAAGAAATTCTTACTTCATCAGGAGTAGCCACAAAATTGATGGCTGTATAATAGCGATCGTCTTCCTGGGATAGACTAAAAGTGAACTGATAGTCAATGAGAAGGGTATCTACGGGAAGAAAGAATACATACTTAAGAATGATACAGGCAAATCATATATACCACACATATATAATAAGAATTAAAAAATAAGAACTGATACAAAATAAAACAGGTCTCTGAAGGCACAGCTTGTGTTACTCACAAAATCAGCAGCTATGAAAGGATACTAACTATCCCCAGGATTTTGAGACTGGGTCTCATGTTGCCTAACCTGGCCTTGAATTCCTGATCCTCCTGCATCTGTACACAAGTACAGCTGTGTGCCATTATGGGCAGTTCACACAGGTTTTTTTCAAACCTGTGAAACCAAATCTCTGCAGTATCTTTTGAATTACCCAGCAAACCTTACTTGCTAAGACCCTGATTGAGGTTTTGGCTCAAAATTAATTCATCTATGAATATTAACTAAATATCTATTTATACATGCTATGCTTTACTTAAGGACACAAAGGTATAAACTAATGACATAACAGAAACCAGGTCTTTGTGGGAAAAGGGTGGATTCAAAGTCGGGGACAAAGAATATAACTTTAGTAATATGGAAAGGAATAAAACAGTCATATATACCAGTGTGCTACAGCTTCAAAGCATGTTCAACTATCACAGACTACACAATTTTAAAGCCTATTGTACAAAACAATAAAGACCTGTCTTAGAAAAGGGCAGGACTGTCAGGTGTGGTGACATATGCCTTTAATCTCAGTAACAGGGGTGAGGGACATAGAAAGGTGGGAAATTAGGTCGAGTCTGGTCTACACAAGAAGTTATAAGTCAGCCAAGGCTACATAATGAGACTCTTGAAGAGGTTTATTTTTTCCTAAATAAGATGTAATAATGGCCAGTAAGAATATAAAAAGATAACCAGCCACACCAAGCATTAGTGAAATAAAAGAAAATCAAAACTACAATGATCTTCTTTTTCATATCCATTATTCTGGTTACTAGTGAAAAACAAAAACAAGCCCCCAAAATAAGTGAATCTTTGAGCACGCTAGGGTAGCACTGTGTGCTCAGCTGCGTCCAGCCCCAGAGAAAGGTGAGTCTGAGTGTGCTACATCATGGATGAGTGTCACAGGCTCAAAAGATGAACACTACGGCTCCATGCAGACGTCACACCCAGGCTAGTCACAGGAACAGAAAACAGAAGGGTGACTACTAGGAACTGGAAAGCATGGGACAAGGAAATCACAGGTTTTATTTTATATTATCATACTACTACTATTCTAGCCCAAGGTTGACTTCTTTTTAATACTTTAGCAATATTGTAAAATTCTAATTGAAATTGGAAGTGACAAAAACTAGAAGGAAACACGAGGAAATAATTAGATTATTGCATCTGTACGTCACCTGGGCTTGGTCTCAAATCTCTGGTCTTTGTACCACTCTCACCCCGGTTCTGGGCTTGTTTATGTGGTGCTGGGAGCAGCAGCTCCAGCGGATAAATCCACTTTTAATTTTTTAAATAACGTATCAAATGGTTTTTCAAAGTGACTGTACCATTTTCAATTTGTCTTCTGTTTCCAGATTTTAATCTTTAATAAGTGACCAGTTTCTCTGGTCATTATGATATTAAGAATACTATCAATAACTACCTAAATTGGTGATTAAAACACTATCCTTTTCCAGTTTGGTAAGGTCAGTTTTCTTTTTCAACATGGTTAACTAAAGAAGGTTTATTACAACAGATTGAATGCAAAAGCAGATTATAGTTGTCTTCTATTAAACCAGAGAATCCACTTTTTTGTGTACGCAAGTTTGCTGGTCAAAGACGTCCTGGGGTGTCATTCCTCAGGTGCCATCCACCTTGTTCTTTTGAGACAGGTAGGCTACCTAGCAGTGAGCGCCACTCTCTAGTGTTGGAATTCAAAGCACTTGCCACCACATTTGGCTTTCTGTAAGGGTTCTGGGTATAAACTCAGGTTCTCAAGCTTGCACAGCAAGAACTTCAACCGAGCTACCTCCCCAGCCCAGTGTGAAATGACTGATTACAGCCATTTCAGGCCTGTATCTCATTGTGTGGTTCTAAATATATAACCTACCTATGGCAACATAATAATGCTTAGTATTTTCTGAAGTATTTGTTGATTTTTAATTACTTGTCAATCACATTTTCTTTAGTGAATCTTTGCCTGTTTTCTAAAATTTGTTTTTTCTTCAGTGCTAGAGTTTTTGCTTTTAACTATAACTATTTCTTATTCAGTTTTAAAAGTTCTCTCTATATCCTAGTCATCAGATTTTTATCAAATGTAGAAATTATAGGGGCAGGTGTGGTGGTATACTACTTTAATCCCAATACTCAATTATAGGGGCAGAGACAGGCAGATGTTTTTTGAGTTCAAGGTCAACCATTCTACAAATCGAGTTCTAGGCCAGCTGAGGCTACATACTGAGGCCTTTGTCTTAAATTTAAAAAGAGGGGCTGAGGGCAGCAGAGACAGCTCAGTGGTTAAGAGGACTGGCTGCTCTTCCAGAGGACTCTGGTTCTATTACCAGTACTCAAATCGAAGTTCTGTTGGTAACTTCAAATCCAGGGAGCCAGATACCCTCTTCTGACCTCCAACGGCACCAGACATATACATGTTACACAGACATACATGTTGTAATAACAAGCATACACATAAAATAACAACAAAAAGGGTTTTAAAGAAAATAATGCAAGTATTATTTGAGGTTTATACTATGTAGCCCAGACAGGCCTCAATCTCATGTTCTCTCAAGTGCTGGGATTACGAGCATGTGGCCCTACACTCAGCTTGTTTTTAATTTTTAAAAAATGTTTTTTGTTTTGTGGTGCTGGGGACTGAAACCAGGACCTTGCTAGGTAAGCACTCTACTACTGAGCTACATTTGCACACCCAATTTTTAAAATGTAATTTTTAAATTTTGAAAAAGTACACATTAACATTTTCTTTGATGAATCAGTTTTAGAACATAACTAAGAATTCTGTAGGACCAGTGGTCCCAGCAACTTGGGAAGCTGAGGTAGGAGAACACAACTTGAAAGCTGCCCTAAGGCTACAGAAGAGCACTTTTCGTACCTAACACAGACACGTGCTTCCTTCTACAGCTTGTATTTACCACTGCAGATGTCAAACATTAATTCCTTTATCTCTTGTTCTATAATCTGGAACCTACTATATAGATTTTCATACATTCAGAAAATATATTTATAATAATCCTGGCTACCTTACCCGACTCACTTTTCACTCCAAGTTAAGAATTTGGTGTTTTGCTTTATTTGTTCCTAAATATGTGGTGAACACAATTCAGCTCCACAGAGATGCTAAAACTTCACTTGTATCTCACAAACTCTTCCGTCATATTCCATCTTGAATTGCGCTGTGATAGACTACACCAGGCAATGGCAAATGGGGTGAGCTTTTGGGAAATCAAGGAAAGCCAGCAAAGCATATCCCTGCTAACTGCTATGGATAGACTAACAGAACTATGCCCACAATTAAAATAGTACTCACCAAGTCAGGCACATGTCTATGAGTATTTGCTATAGCCCTCAAGCATTTCATTCTTAAACCATGTAAAAGAAAACAATGTAGTTTTGCTCAATTACTATGTTTCTAGAAACAAGAATTATAGAAACTTACAATAACATGTTCCTTTGAGAGGGTTTCCCTGGTATCGGTTTTCTACCTCACATCTAGAGAAAAAAAAGAAAATATTTTCTGTTGATATTTAAAGCATAGAATCTACATTCATTTTTAAACCAAGCAGATCCTTTTACATAAACTATACCATTATTTAGGTCAGATGGACTAATCTATTTGCATCAGTTTTTCTGCTAACTACTCAGCAGTTTACACCAGCAATAGTCTAAAAGCAAGTCCATGAGTAATAATGCTAGATTCTTCTTATAAGGAAAACCACATTTTTACTTTTGTGTGGATTATGTATTCTTCTCAAAGTGCAGCTAAAATATTTTTAAACATCTGTTTCTCATTTCTACCCTGTTCTTCCTATGTAAACCAATTATATTCCTTTATTTCCTTTTTTAAATTTTTATATTTATTTATTCATTTATTTGTTTGTTTAGACAGGATTTCATACATAGCCCTAGCTGGCCTGGAACTCAATTTAGAGAGATTCTAACTCTCTGAAGCCATAAGCCAAATTAAATGCTTTCTTTTATAAGTTACCTTGGTCATGGTGTTTTATTAGAGCAATACAAAGTAACCAAGGCAACCTATCTGAAGCAAAAAGGCAAATGTCCAAATTAATCTACTCAAAGACCCTGGGAAACCAGGGCAACAATAGGCAAGCAGGTGCTCTCAGGCTTCATGCAGCTTCATCCCCTGGCCCTCACCGGTGATACAAAGAGTGTGGTACTCACAGCTGGCATTCATCCCCCTTAACACCCTTGGTGGTGCAGAAGCACTTGCCAGTGTTGGTGTTGCACAGAGATGCATGACCGTTGCACTTGCATGCTGGAGAAAAGGAATGGAACACAGGTCACAACTGGTTTGACAGTTTATTACCACAGACTTTGATTAAGACAAATAATTTTGCCTGAAATGGGTTTATAGGAAAGACAGACTGACGCAAGAAAAAGCACTGAGTAAGATTCATTATTTTTCAGCTAATGATTTATTTCTAATAACACAAAGATCGCACTAAAGGAATCACCATTCAAGGCAGGAGGAAAGACAAAGCTATTTTCTGCTGCCACCTGAAGTACTCGCTATTTCCATCTCTGTGACAGACTCTTCCAGCACTATGGTTTTTTGTTCAATAAATATTTAAGAGCGTTTGTAGTGTGTCATGTGCTGGGTCCTTGCCCTGTGGAAATGACCTGCTCTATTGAGTTTTTTCTTGTCCTGAGAACTCCTTTCTTAATTTGAGCTTAAGGGGTCTTTAAACTATAGGATTCACAATATTTTTCGATTGTAAACTGGAACAAATAAAAAAAATGAGTTCATAAGTGTGACTTACTGATTAAAAAGACATAAACTTACGTTCTAACAATAAGGCAGCCTATGGCTTTCAGACTTCAGACTTGAATATGAAAATGTGGAACTATTCAAATCTTAAACTATCTGAGAAGTTCTAAGGAGAGCCCATGTGAAGCTGGGCATTTGAGAGCTACAGGCAGGAGGATAAGAAGTTCAAGTTCATCTTCAATTCCCTAGATCCTGTCTAAAACCAACCAAACAAGACCAAAGGCAGGCCACTGCAAAGACTTTATCGGGGGTCCTCAGGAGGTCAGTGGCCCTCCCACCACAGACTGGCAGAGCCAGGTGTTACAGTCTCTGACAGACGTTAGTTCAGAAGGGGGTTCCCTTGGATGCCACAGGTTTTCAAATGTACATTACTCCTACGTCTCTCTCTGAGGTTTCCAGCAGAAGACTTATTTGGATGTCTCTGCGGTACCTTGTTATGGAAGAGAGAAACTGAAGAGACTGTCTTCATTCTGACTTCTCATTCCCAGCTTTCCTCTCTCTCCCCTCACAAGGCTGCTGACCTGGCTCCCTCACAGTGAGAAGATGACCATGCACCAGCGATGCCCTGCTTCCCCTGAGCTAATGTGCTTCCATGGGAGGAAAGATGGAACAGAGGCAGCTGATGCCTTTCCTGATGTTAGCTTCTTGTTTTTACTTCTGCTCAGTGTACATAAGGGTTTAACTCCTTCACTGCTGGTTTGTTGCTTTAACCAGCTGCCCCCAAACCTGCAAGTTCAGCTCTTTCCTCTTCCAGATCAGTTGAACTCTTAACACTGTTATCTAATAAGAAAGACAGAATCCCAAACCAAGAGGCTTTTCCCTTTAAGACATTTAAGTCAAATGCAAGTACTGTACTATTTCACTTGATTGTGACCACTAACAAAGCTGACCAGTGTGACTTACGCTGACATTTGCCTCCATTAGTCGGATCACCATAGAAGCCAGATATGCAGGTCTCGCAGTGCTTGCCGGTGGTCAGGTTCTCACACTTCTCACAGATACTCTGGTTGACACATTTGCTATGGCCGTTGCACTGGCAAGCTGAAAGGCAAAGAATAGGGTTCCATCTGTCCCACAGGAGGACTGGGTAGGTAAATTCCACAGACTGATTTGCATATACTCTAAATGTTAATCATCAAGTTAGTTCGGCAAGGTTGTCTGCACCTACAGTTCCAACTACTAGGAAGGAAGAGGCAGGCAGCATCCCTATTCTATGGACCTACCTTGCTTAAGCCCGGAGGCTGGAGGTCAGCCTAGGTAACATAATGAGATTCCCATCTAAAAAAGTTTTTTTTTTTCAATTAAAAAAAAAAGGAAGGGAGAAAGGAAAAAGAGCTGGGTGTGGAATTCAAGGCTATCCTTGGCTACGTAACAAGTTGATGCCAGTACAATACACACAAAACAAAACAAGGTTCACTAAAAACCAGTCTGAGAAAATAAAAATACCAAAAACAAATTAAGTCTTGAAAAACCAAAATCATATTATCAAGCAAGGTGAAAGTCTACAGCAATATAAAAATAATTTTTGTTATTATTCATTATAAAAACTCATGCTTATGATAGTGTATTTGAAAAACGAAGGAAAAGAGGAAAAAAAAAACAAAAAATAATCTCATTACCCAAAAAACATGGTTCATATTTGATATCTTTCCTTTCAGGATTTTTTAAATTATTTATCTTTCTTTTCTTCTCCTTTTTAAAAATGAGTAATAGTACATGACTTTAACAAGTTACTTTCTCCAATAAATAAATCATTTGGAAAAAAAATAAATAAGCAGAGAAACCTCAGAATTAAATGACTTTTTACATAAAATGAATTTAAAAGATATTCATAGACTAGCCTACCTAAATGACAAAGAATATACATTCTATTCACAGCACAGGGAAGAACATGCTGAGACACAAAGAAAACCTTAATAAATACAAAAACAATCTATGTATCCTATCTGTCCATTATGAAATGAAACTTAAAATCAACAGTCAACAAAACTCTAGTAAGTGTATAAATTCATTACTGAATGATGAAAAGTTCAAAGAAGAAATCAAAATATTCCTGGAACTAAATTTAAAAGAAAACACAAAACGACAAATCCCGTAAGCTCTAAGTTAGAAGCAGTTCTAAGAGGGAAGTGTGTCCCAAGGTCCTCATTAGGAAATCCAAAAGAGCCCAAATAAATGACTTAAGGATGCAAGGGGAAACTTTGGAAAAACAAGAACTGAAATAAAACCCAACCCAAACCCAATAGATGACATGAAATAATTTTAAAAAAAAAATCAAAGATGAAATCAATGAAACTGGAACAATAAAAAACAATGAAAAAAAAAAACCTCAAGGACTCTGAGTCGGTTCTTTAAGAAGGTAAGAAGAGTGAAAGACCCTTGGCCCAGCTAACCGCAAAGAGATCCACAGAATCATAAATGAACAGGGAAACATCACAACAGACACCAAATACAGAATGTTATAAGGAAATACTTTAAACCCCCATATTCCATTAAGTTGGAAATCTAAAAGAAATGGAAGAATTTCTTTATTCATCCAAACTACCAAAGTTAAATCATGTGGCAATTAGCAACTGAAACAGACCATAGCAAACAAAGAGAATGAAATAGTAATAAAAAGCCTTTTAACTAGACAGAGTCCAGAGCCAGATAGATTCATAGCATAATTCTACCAGATGTTCAAAAAAGAACAATAATCAACAATTCTTAAATTATATAAAAAAGAATAGAAGGATCACTCCCAAATTCATTTCCAAAGCCTGAATGACACTAACACCCAATACCCAAACTGCAGACCAGTATGCCTGACAAACACAGATGCAGAAGTCTTCAATAAAATACTAGTGAACACAATACAAGCACATATCAAGAAGATCAGCCATCACAAGTAACTGGGCTTTATCCAAGAATTTCAGGTAGGCCCAACATACCTAAGTCAGTAAATACAATAAATCATATAAGTAGACTTAACAATGAAATCACATGACCTTCTAAGTAGATGAAGAAAAGAGCTTGGGACAAAAAAATCCAATGCCTTCATGATAAAAGTCCTAGAGAAAACAATACTGGAGTGAACATACCTCAACATAATAAAGGCTGGATATAACAAACCCACAGCCAACATTATCTTAAATGAGGAAAAACTCAAAGCAATCCCATTAAAATAAAAAATAAGACAAGGTTGTCCAGGGTCCCCACTCCTTTTTAATACAGTGCTGGAAGCATTAGATGGAACAATAAGGCAGGAGAAAGAAACAAAAGGGATACAAATAGGAAAGGAAGTCAAGTTATCCCTATTGATATATGACATGATATTATACACAAGAAATATCAAAAAGTCCATCATTAAATTTCTAGAAACAATAACAATTTCAATAAAGTGTGGCAAGGTACAAAATTAGCTTTCAAATATCAGTAGCTCTTGGGCTGGAGAGAAGGCTCAGTAGATAAGCTGTTCTTACAGGGGACCTGGGTTCAATTGCCAGCACCTACATGACAGCTCATAACTGTCTGTAAATCCAGTCCCAGGGGATACAATGCCATCTTCTGGCGCACAGATGTAAGTTCCAACAAACATTCATACACAAGAATTTTTTTAAAAAAATAAACGTATCGAAGAATAGATAAGAAAAATGTGGTATATTTAAACAATGGAGTACTACACAGCAATATAAACAATTTGGCGTGAGCATAAAACAGACATGCAGACCAACAGAATAAAACAGAAGAGCCAAACAGCAATGTTCATAGCTACAGCCATCTGCTATTTCACAAAGAGGCAAAAACATAGGAAAGATAACATCTTCAACAAATGATGCTGATGGGATAAAACCGGACTCGCTGAACATAGCGGACAATGAGGACTACTGAGAACTCAAGAACAATGGCAATGGGTTTTTGATCCTACTGCACGTATTGGCTTTGTGGGAGCCTAGGCAGTTTAGATGCTCACCTTACTAGACCTGGATGGAGGTGGGTGGTCCTTGGACTTCCCACAGGGCAGGGAACCCTGATTGCTCTTTGGGCTGACGAGGGGGGGGACTTGACCAGGGGAGGGGGAGGGAAATGGGAGGCGGTGGCGGAGAGGAAGCAGAAATCTTTAATAAATTATTAATAAATAAATAATATAAAAAACAAATGATGCTGGGAAAACCGTATGTTCACATGCAGAAGAATGAAAATAGATCTGTATCCATCGCCTTTCACAATAACTCTAAATGGATCAAAGACATAACCCAAAACACGGAAACTTTAGAAAAAAATATAGGCAGTACCCTACATGATATACGTGTAGGAAAGGACTTTCTATTGAGGACTCCATGTGCCCAGGAATTGAGGCCAGCAACTAACTGGTAAATGGGACTTCATAAAAAAAAAAAAAAAAAAAAAAAAAAGCTTCTGTGCAGCTAAGAAAAAAAAAATCAATCAAGTGAAGAAGAATGGGGAGAATCTTTGCAAGCTATACATTGGACAGAGAATTAACATCCAGAACATAGAACTCCAAAGTCAGAGTAAAGGAAGCAAATGACTCAATTTAAAAATGGGCTAGGGATCTGTGCTGGCCAGTTTTATGTCAAGGTTGATTCTTTACAAACAGGTAGTAAGACATCTGGATTAGAATACACAGGCATCTTACCTGGACACTGAATGAAAGACCAGTTGTATCTGCTGTCCTCGAGACACATGCTGGAGTTGAGGAGAGGCTGTGGATACACAGTTCCTGCAGAGGCCAGTGAAGGCATCCTCACAGGTCCTTTATAGCTGCCCTCGATACATTTCCCTTTCCCAGTATTGCTAGGGTCAGTACACCAGCCACAGCCTGGCTGCTCCAAGCAATGGCTACAGGTACAGTAGCCAGAGCAATTTTCAGCTATTAAAAAAAAATTAAACTTGTAATTCATTATCACAAGTAGATGTACTAGTACCTTATAGTGACTACTGAAATGAAATAATTTAAAGAGCCCACGATTTTACAGAACATACAACAGAGACTTTCCCCATCTTTTTCAATACAAGGAAGTTGGAAGTAGAAGGGACCTGTGAGGTCCTCTACCAGAAAGCACTTTACAAGCAGGCAGATTAAGATATGGAGACATTCTAGAGACTGAACTATATGGCCCTGAAGAAGAGAAATTATTCTGTACCTTGTGACCTACCCTAGATTTATCTGATTTACTGCATGGATCATTGTACCCAATTCCTTATACACATTTTAATCTGGAAAGACCAGCCTAACCATCTTCTGAACAGACTTGAGCAGAAGGTCAAGTCCAACCTGCTGGTAAATGTCCCAGGCTCTTTTCACTTACGTGGGCAGCTGCTCATTGTATACCATTCCATACACTGGCCAAAAGGGAAGGAGGCCACATAGGCATTGGAGTCTACACACTGCTTCATGTTACTGCACCACATGCACTCGGAACTGCTGCTAGTGCACTCGCTACACGCTGTCCGCAGGGCACATGGTGTCCGGCACTGCTTGGCACTGTGGTTTGCTGGGAATTAAGCCCAAAAGGGACACTGGTCAGCTAGGATCAAAGACTTTTCAATGTGCATTATGAAATTAGTTCAGCACTATACTACTACATGGAGGAAAATCCAAGAAACTTGGGACTCATGGGTTCTGTTTATTCAAGTGTACTTAAGCATTCAGGGGAACACGGACTTTCTTTTCAAAAAGCACTGAAGGTGGGGAAACATAAAAATCGTGGACTCACAATGGCTCATGGTGAACTGCAGGCGTCTTCGAACTAACCTGAGTTTATTAAAATTCTACATTTAAAATTTTGACGGATGAAAGCATTAGCTTTCAACAAGGACAAAAACCTTTGTTGTAAGAAATTTAGAAACCCAGGTGGCTGGAGAGATGACTCAATGGTTAAGAGCAGGTACTTCTTTTCCAGAGGACCCAATCTCACTTGCCAGCACTCCTGTCAGGCTCCAAGGGGTCTGACACCTCTGTCCTCCTAGGCACCTCTTCTCTCTCTCTCTCTCTCTCTCTCTCTCTCTCTCTCTCTCTCTCTCTCTCTCTCTCTCTCTCCCACACACACCCACACACCCACACACACAAATCCCACATTAAAAAAAAATGTCAACTATTTTCTAAAGATTTTAGAAACCTTTTCCTAAGGCAACTCCCATGCTGTGACTCTCTTCAACCTAACACCTCAGTATTACTCAGGACCTGCTGGGAATGGAACTCAGCCTCCCAAAATAACCTGTACTTGCCCCTCTTGCTTCTGAGTTCTCATTTGTGTGTGGCTGTGCTGGGCCCGCCATCATAGAGTCCAGCCTTAGCCTCAGCACGGGACTGCCACAGCCTGGGGTTGGCTCTATCGGTGTCTTTTGCGATGCCCTCCCCACAGCAGCTCTCTGAGTACTGTCCTGATTTGCTGCTTTTCTAAAGGTTTTTGGTTTCTGTGTTGTTCTTTCTTCCATAGCCTTTCTCTGCCAACACAAAGGAAATCACCTTTCAGAACGATTCTCAACACTTTTGTGGTCAACAAAGCAGTCTAGCTCAATATTAAATTAGATTCTTTCAGTAATTTTATTTTTGGTTTTGAGTATGACTCAAACTATTTCCTTCTACATTGGGATTTTGTGTTCTTTTTAAAATAAATATGCCTGAATCAGTGTTCACTAACTGCTGTCACATGTATCTTATATATCTCAGTACTCAGTCAACTATGCCTCCTCTGCTTTCCTGGTAAACCTCTTGGAGCACTGTACTCATCCATGTCCTTACCGGGCCTTTCACAAACACTGCCATTGAGTGGGTTGATGCAGGTTGCAGCCTTCAATCCCCGAGTACTAGGCTCTGACAAGATCCCACAGAAGCCAGCATCGCTGGGCTCAGATGGCATCCACTGTAGCAAACTATTTGTAAATGGAGACATATCCTCCCAGCACCAGTAAGAAACATTGATCTTACGAAGACCAACCCAAGGAGTCAGAGTGAGCTTGGACTACAGGCAAAAAAAAAAAAAAGACAGTTAAGAATACAAGCATGTCTTTACCAAAACAGGCTTTGACATAAAAAACACTAGTTTGGGCATACCCCACAGACACGTGAAAAGCTCCTTATTCTCCAAACTCGGGCAAGTTGGATTAAGATAAGTGATCTTTTCAATATGATTACTTTGCAGAGGATAAAAATGGCTCAAAGAAGATAACACAGCAAGACTAGACTTCCAGAGATCAGTAGTAAAGAAATAATCAAGTTTCAAACTACTTGTGTTCATGACAAGAGTTATAAAGAAACAATCATCCACAAATAAGGTTCATAAATGAAGTCACCTTACTAATACTTTTAAAATATAGATTATATGCCTAACCTGAGTCTGTATGGCCAGTTCAGATGATTTAAAAATTGTTCCATTAGCCACGGGGCACAGCCTAACACATACATTTTCTTTTCCAGTTTTCCTGCTATGTAACTGCCAAATCTCAGGCTCATCTCTGTTGTTCAAGGTGATACTTTCCTTCTTTTTTTAAAGGTGAGATCACAGTCTACTGTGTATATGTATATGTTGTAGCATGAATAATAAAAACCCAGAGACAGATATTGGGGTTCAAGTTGAAGATAAGAAAAGCAAAAACAGACAAGCCACTAGAAAAGTCTTACCTCTACCAAGGCTGGGTGACTGCAGACAGAGATGAGCCTCTGTCTCCTCCCATTTTATATTCCCCTCTAGTGCTGGGATTAAAGGTATGACTCCCTATACTGGGATTAAAGATGTGAACTATATACGATTTATACAGGCATTAAATTCATCAACGATGTCTAGTCCATTTGCATTTGAAGAATTCAGAGAAAATACTCCATATCTATTCTTGTCTTGGTGAGTCTGAAGTCTTGTACCTAATTTACTTTCTATTATAACTTGCTTTCTGTGTCTGGTAAATAAGGATAACTTTAACTATCTAGTCTTCAACTCTCTCAGAGACCCAAGAAGGAAATAATATTAACTGGGCAAGCAGGAAGTGAGAGCAAGTAAATTCTGAAAATTGTGAGAAATGACAGAAACAGATGTCTACCTAGACAGTCACCCAAAGTTCCTCTGCAACATTGGTGCATCCATCTTCAGCCTACAGTCCTAGAATATCTGACAGACTTTTCTACAAAGCAGGGTTTTTGAAGGACTTCCCTGCCTTGTCTGTTAAAGGTTTGGCAGTCACTCTCTTCTTGTGTCCTGCTTGTCCCATTAGGACAGGAAAGTGGCAGTGGTTTGAGGCAAGGGTACTTTCTTGCCCAGTGGCTTACTTTTGCCACAAAGGAAGTAAACTCCATGTGGGAGTTTCTTCAAAGCCCATTATCTTCTCTGAGGTAGATTGGTGCGGCCAGGAGCAAACATGTCTCATTGTCATAAAAAAAAAAAGAAGAAGAAGAAGAAGAAGAAGAAGAAGAAGAAGAAGAGGGAGAGGGAGAGGGAGAGGGAGAGGGAGAGGGAGAAGAAGAAGAAGAAGAAGAAGAAGAAGAAGAAGAAGAAGAAGAAGAAGAAGAAGAAGAAGAAGAAGAAGAAGAAGAAGAAGAAAGAATCTATGTTATTAAAGCATCTTAAATGCCATACTCTGTAGATCTCTGAAGTGTTTGAAAATGACATGTCTACTTAAAATATACCTGTTTGACCTTGAAAACATACCTAATGTGACTACAAGTTCGATCGTAATAGGTGACTGAAACTAACCTGCATTTCCTTATTATCCTAAACAGTTGGTAATAATAATTTTCAAGGACTAGAAATTTGCATTACATTGTTAAATGAGTTGTATAGGTGGAATACCTTGAACAAGAGCAGAAATGTATGTACAGTATGTTCTAACAAAATTAATTTCAAATTTGCATAAACATACATTTGTATACAATATACAAAAGTCCAATCCAATGTAAAGCATTTAAAACTAGTAGTTGTTTTTTAAAAGTAGACTCAATAATCTATCTTTTTATCTTATTATATCTATATCCTTCCTTTTTTCTTTTCAGAGTAGATTCAATAATCTACCCTTTTATCCTATTATATCTATAGCCCCTTTTTTCTTTTTAAAATAAAAACCTTGAATCTAATTTCCTTTGGTTAGCTTTTTTCCTGACCATTACCAATAACAACTTGTTAGCAATCCCCCTAAACAATGACAAATATCCATAATCACATTTTATCTATTTATCTGAGTATGTGTCACATTTTACCTAACTCCATGCTACATTTTATTTTTTAAAAAGTCACAAACCTGTAGAATAATTTCTGCCTCCCCTGTTTTTGCTGCAAGGAGTAAGATCCAGGGTCTCCTGGGCATGAACTCTACTACTGAGCTCCAGTCTTGGGTAGCCCTGAAATTCCTTTCTCATTCCAACTTTGTTATTTTGGATTTTTTTTTTGTTTGTTTTTGTTTTTTTGTTTTTGAGGCAGGTGTCCCTATGTAGCGCTGGCTTGTCTAGAATTCCCTATATAAACCAGGGTGGCCTTGAAGTCACAGAGATGTGCCTGTCTTTGTCTCCTGAGTGCTGGGATTAAAGGCATGATGCACAGTGCCTGGCTCCCCATTGCAATTTAAAAACAAAACAAAACAACAACAACAAATCTTTATAGGAGGTGGAGGGATGGCTCAACAGATAATGCTGCTCTTCCAGAGGACCAGAGTTTGGATCCCAGCCCCTACATCAAGCAGCTTACAACTGTAACTCTAACTCCAGGAGACCCAATACCCTCTTCTGGCCTCTGTGAGCAGCCCCTTCCCCCCAAGCTCCCTAGTATCACAAGTACCTGTTATACATTTCAAAATCCATGCTAGTCTCCTGGCCCTTCTCCCCGAAAATACCTGTCTTCCTTATAATCCACATGATTTGTTCACCCCACACACTCTCAGCTCTTGTTATCCTCTTGCTACCTCTCCATCTCCACCTCCACTACTCTCTGCTATTGAATGTTTTATTAGTTATGTAGAAAAGGACTGGATATGGCCAGGGCTAGGGGAATGGGATAGTGGGAAAGAACAGTGGAGAGCGCAGGAGATAAAGAGAGAGCGTGTGAGATGGACGCATTGTGTGGGTTATCAGGAAGAGTAGCCGAGGGGGGAAGGGCTAGGAGACTAGCCTGGACTTTGAGGTGCAGAACAGGTACTTGTGATACTGAGGGGCCTGGTGGCCAATATGTGCCTTGATACAATAACAGGCGTCACAGTGATAAGGAAATGACTCCTTTTGACAAATGGAGACCAATTTCACAAGTTTCTGAGGAATGCCAGCTTTTATCTACTGCCAGAAATCCTTCTCTAGTCCCGCTTGAGCTCATTTCAGGATATATGGACTTCCTGGGACTTAACAGCCAGAATCCATACTATACTTGCTCATGTCATGAGAAGGTGGTGCCAAGTGAGAAATGCGATGCCGTGCTCTCTTTTCTCCTGGCTAGACAAAAACATATTCCCCATATCTCCCTGTACCATAGCTAGCACAGACAGAAAACCTGCTCTGTGAATACCTACCTAATGAACTTTAGCATCGCGATTCTTAGACTTTGCATGAAAAATGCCAAATGGAATCATGTAACATCAACTACATGCTGTTCAAGAATTTAGCTAGACAGTAGGAGAATTTGGACCTTTCTGAATTCAGAAGCCTTAGCAAGAAAGTGTCCTCCTGGGCTAGCCAGGTTTTACACTTCTTATTGGGGATCACATTGCATGCTATAACACCTTAAGGGATGCAAACGGCTTAATAACACTTAGATAGCTAGCTTTGTGCCCTCCCTTCTCCAAGAAGAATCTAGATATGAAAATCTAGTACGAAATAATCTAACGTCACCAGATGTGGTGGTTTGAATAGGTATGGCCTCCATAGATTCATGGCCTATATATAGGGAGTGGCACTATTAGGAAGTGAGGTTTATTAGGTGTGGGCTTGCTGGAGGAAGTGTGTCACTGTGGAGGTGGGTTTTGAGATCTCATATGCTCAAGCTACTCCCAGTGTTGGACACAGTTCACTGCCTGTTGCCTGAGGATCAAAATGCAGAACTCTCAGCTCTTTTCTCCAGCACCACGTCTGCCTACACATTGCCTTGTTTCCCACCATGATTATAATGGACTGAACCTCTGAAACTGTAAGCCAGCCCTAATTAAATATTTGCATTAAGAATTGCCATGGCCATGGTGTCTCTTCACAGTAATAGAAACCCTGACTAAGACACCAAAATACGTGTACATATTATTATTCATTCCATATATTCCTATCTCATACTTAATAAATATGACCACCAAAATACTCAAAGTACTGAACTCTTTAATACATGAAGAAAGGCATTAAAACAAAAGATTCTGAAGTACAGGTACACGGTCTATTATTAATCATTTACTGGAATTCTTTCTCTTATCAGGTACATGATACGCAACTGGGGCCTTCTACACATAGGCTGCTGTTGTGCCCTCAGAAGAAAGGTGGTATTAGAAACCGAAGTTCAGAAAATGTTAACTCACCATGCTCTGAGATGACTGCATTAATCGAAGATGTTTAAGGACAAATTCCACCTTTTTCTGGGATGTAAGGGAAGCCAAAAAAGCATTGTGGTTCCTACAGGACAACTTAGCATTGTCATAATTTTCCTTAGCAGTAGTGATTTTCAGACATGAGTTTCCAACCAAATGCCAGCCAATACCACATATATTTTCTTTTATAAAGGGGGAAAAGAAAAGAAAACAAAGTTTTAGAAATTATATAAGTTGTATATTACTAGTTCAATTATTGAAATCTAAGCTCATTCTTCTGATTTGAATTCCGGGTACTTCATTAGGCTATGGTGAGAGTATCAGATGCATTATTAACTTCCATATACAGAAAAAAACTTTTAAAATAAATTATTTCTTTTTAAAATTATGTGTATATATGCAACTCAAGTGTGGGTTTGTACATGTGACTGTAGTGCTCACAGAGGCCGTAAGAGGGCAAACCAATATTACAAGAGGTTGTGAACTGCCCAGCATGGACACTGGAGACCAACTTTGGGTCCTCTGGAAGATCAGTATGCACTCTTAACTGCTGAGTCTTCTCTTCAACCCCAGAATAAAAAGACCTTTAAAAAAGGTTCACCAGTCACATTTCCTGAATCTCAGGAAGCATACTCTAGTCAATACTCCTACATCCTGAAGGCGAATTCTTTGGTGCCATGGTTAGAGATTGGTGTAACTCTTTTTGAAGAAAAATGGAGAAGTAAACTAAAATCTTGAATGAAAAATATATAAACAAATATGGAAAGATGGGGCAGAAAACTGCAAATGGGGCTTGGGAAATGGTTCAGTGGGTAAAATACTTGTACCAAGTCTAAGGACCTAGTTCAGATCCCCAGGACCGACATAAAAAGTCAAGCATGATTTTGCTTGCTTGTAATCTCAGCTGAGGGCTAAACGTAGGGGGCTCCTGAGACTTTCGAGTCAGCCTTCTAGATAATCAGTGGGCTCCACACTTAGTGAAGGACCCTGTTTCAAAACAACTGAATGTGGGCAAGTGACAGAGAAATATACGGAAGTTAACCTCTGGCCTCCAATGCTCACGTGTATACTTATCTGTACGAAGATGTACATATGCAGGAAAAAGTAAACTATAAATGGAATTGAATTGGGAATGGATGACTTTAAGTTTCCAAATGCTACCCTGTTTTCATGCCATGAGACAGAAGGTATAAGCAACTGCACCAGCATATCAAAAACAAGGTGAAGAGGGAGATTGGTTTAGGAAAACTTCAAAGTAATATGGTACACAAAGAAAGTCTGCAGTCTCCTCTGTGATTGTGCTGAACTACATAAAGTGTAGCATGAAAGCATGGTTGCTCCTGGACACTTGCACAAAAGTGAACAAGCAAGAGACTTCCTCCGAGCCGGAGCACACTGTTGGAGACAGCAACAGTGCTCATTAGCCAGAAGAGCCATTGGGATCCACGAGAGGCCTGTGGAAAGGGATAATCTAAGAGTAATAAACTGGCTCCTAAGAATGTGGTCCAGGGGCTGGAGAGATGGCTTGGAGATTAAGAGCACTGGCTGCTCTTCCAGAAGACCTGGGCTCAATTCCTAGCTCCAACATGGCAGCTCACAGCTGCCTGTAACTTCAAGATCTGACACCCTCAAACAGACAGATATGTATGCAGGCAGAGCACCAATGCACATAAAATAAAAATAAATAAACTAAATGTTTGGGGAGAGCCTTGGACCTTCACCAAAGCAATGTGCCTTACCCTCTTTGAGGAGTGGATGGGGGAGGGGGATGGGAGGGATGGAGGAGGGGAGAGTGGGAACTGGGATTGGTATGTAAAATGAAAAAAGACAGTTTGTTTTCTTTTTAAAAAATAAAAATTAAAAAAAAGTGGGAAAAAAAAAAGAATGTGGTACCAGCAGTAAGACAAAATTACAGGCTTTCAAGGACTGAATTAGAACAAGCCTTTTAACAGGTGCCCAAGTATTCTATTGGACATTAAAGTGTGATACACAGAACAAAATGGACAAAAAGCCTGCAGTGGTTTGAATAAGAATGACCCCCTTAGGCTCGTGTATGTGAATGCTTACATCAGGGAACGACACTATTAGAGAAGGCTGAAGGTATAGCCTTGCAGGAATAGCTGTGGGCTTGTTAGAGGAGGTATTTCACTGGGGGTAGACTCTGAACTTTCAAAAGCCCACGCCAGGTCCCATCCCTATCACTCCAGCACCCGTCTGTGTGCTGCCAGGCTTCTGCCATGATAACAGCCTCTGAAACTATAGCCCCCAATTTAATGTTTCCTTTCATGAGAGTTGCCTTGGTAATGGTGTCTCTTCACAGCAACAGAACATGGATTAAAATAAAGCCCATTGGGCAAACTAAATAAAATCCTTTCAAAGAGTCCAGATCCACAGCCCTAATCAAGCCTCAGATGTTGGAGAGCCATAGGAGCTCCCCTTCCAGGGTATCCTGATGAATCAAATACATCACAGGGGTTTAGTCAGGGCTAGCTGCTCTTAGTTCCTAAAACTGTCACCCTGAATCTCAGCTGAAATAGTCAGGAATGAAGGTCACATCAGGAGAGGGGACGGATACAGAAATCCCTTCTTGCTGAACTGTCAGGAAGTGATTCCTTATAGGGCCCTTACTGTTGCTGAGTTATCACAGCTTAAGGAGGGTCAGTGGGGCATGGTGTGTGATATTGATCTCAGCCACCGACCAATTCTCAGAACAGATGATGCTTCCATTTATTTCAAAGGCCAGCAGAATAAGTATGTGAGAACCATATTTAAGTTAAAAACAAATACAACATAATTCCTCTAAACAGTGAGAGAACTAAACAGACAGAATATGCCTCTCTTTCCTAGGTTCATCCTAACCCCTCACTGAGGGTATCCCAGCGCAAGGCCTACCTACCAGGCAGGGCGATGCACTCCTGATTCCGGGGCTCCCACTGGCAGTTCTGGTCTAGGGCACAGCTCCTGCAGCTTGTTTTCTTATTGCAGTAGTACATGGGATTATCCTTGGGGCAATTGTCATACTTGGAAATGGAGAGCTAGAACACAGTGGAGAAGTGCTTTCGTTTATATTCACACAAAGAACTTGGTGAGGACTAATAAGGGTCCTAAAGACAGTAACATAACCGAGGACGGTAACTGTGGATGGGAGGGGGACGGAGGGAGGGAGGGAGGGAGGGAGGGAGGGAGGGAGGGAGGGAGGTACACAGATGACAGAATTAGGTAGAATGAACAGGAAGTGGTAGTGTAGTGGGAACACCTTAGTGCATTCTCACTACCATGCCTTTAGCTGGCAAGGTAGCCCACCTGCACCACCTTCACCACCACACCTCATTCAACATTTACCTGTAAAATTGCAAGTTTTTTCAGTGCTCCCCCAACCCCCACCCACAGCAGCAGTCTCAAGTTTGTATCTTATGAAGTGCATTAAACTGGGAGAAAAACATGTCATGAATCATCAAAGACAATAAAAGCTGGGTCACTTATCTTCTTTAGCCTATTATCACCTAAATTTAAAGTCACCGAGGGTGAGCACAGACGTAATGCTGAGTCAAGATATAAAACAAAGACATTTTGTAAAACCCTTTTTCTGAATACTACACACAAACCTCAGTAGCTGAAGGACCCTTGCAATCAGGATATATATAGCATCCCTTCCTTAAAGAAAACCTGAGCAATAGTAAAATTCAAATCTACATCCCATTTTAAAAATAAATCTGCTCATTATTTCCACTATACCCAAACTCAACAAGCACCTTTTTCTGTCCTCTAAAATCCTTGAAAAACAGTTTCTGACCTGGCCTTCTGTGCAGCTGTGGTTCATAGGGACACAGTGATCATTGCACCAGTGGCAGTCATTGGTATTGGCTGTGCAGCTGTAACAATCTGTGTGCTGGTCACATCTGTCATGGTCAAGGGCTATGGAGAAAAGAAAACCTCATCAACTATGTGACAGCCTCTGTTGAGCAGAATCTGAGACAGAAAAGCTCCTAGCAATGGTTGGGAAGCAAATGTAGGGTCAAACTGGAAGGAAAAAAACATTGCCATGTTCAGGTTAAAATAAAACAGATATAAGCAGACAATCTGAAAAGTACTATTTGGTAACTATCCCCTGAAAAGTGCACAGAAAGTAAAAAGCAAAGGTCTGTTGATTACTTTTGTAGCAATTCTAAGATATGATGGAAGATCTGGGCTTTGAATGCTCTTTTCTTCTTAGGACAAATATTAACACCACAAGCTGCCCAGAAGCCAAGGAAAGTAATACAAGAGACCAAGACATTCTTCCTAGCTACAAATACAAGGCACATCTGGGTGAGCCATATCCAGTGCCTAAGAACCCCACAGAAAACACTTGCTAATTGTACTCTATATACACGTGAATTCAAGACTGTGGGTTTCAGAACTTCCACCTTTATAGACCTGACATAATTCCCACTAATCCCCAAACGAGAAGCTACAAAGCCATGCTGCCCTACGTGCTAAACCATCTCACAGACATGACACCAACAAGCAGGAAGAGAGGCCACTGGCCTAATGTCACAGAAACTCTCCTGGTAAGTTTGTATCTTAGGCTGTTTTCCTGCCAAGATCATTACAACAGGATTAGGTATACCCAACAGGATTAGGCATAACTAATGGGCTCATAAGAACCACCTAAGAAATATATTCCCAATACACTAACATTTAAGTTGAATTTTTAAAATTGGTTATTCTACTGATTCTGTTTTGGGAAAGTTAGAACTCCTAACAGGTTCTGGTAATCTGTTTTCTATCAATGAACCAAAATTCCAATCAACAGAATGGTCTCATACTGTTGCACAACTTTATTTGGCACATAACAGGAAAACAAAGGCAGTCTATCCAATATAACTCTCATGTTAACTCCAGCACCTGCCTGTGTCTTACTAGGTAAGTAATATAGTCTCATACTTTAAATTGATTGATACAAACAAACTATCTTGGAGGCACTCTTTCTATTTTTCCAAGGATTTTTATACATGTTACTTCACTGATTTGGTGAAGTAGTGCTTGAGGAAACCACTAAGCAAGTAGATAAGAGGCAAAAATAACAAGACCAGCTCAGGGGCTCGTGAAGCAGGGACCTTAATGCATCTGTCATTCTGTATTGCTGTATCCAGCTAAAGGGGCTGGAAATACCTAGTGAGGACAGCAGCTCTACCACTGTTCTACCAGAACAATTTGCTGTACATGATCCCCATTCTTATCCTTAACATTAGACCTTCATCAACAATACAGCAGCCAATAGCCACATACAGTTCTTTTAGTGTTGATGGTTTTGGCTTTTGTCTCAGCCTCTTGAGTATTTGGATTATAGTCATGTGCTACTATACCTGGCTCATTACATGTACTTTTAAAGTAAATCAACCAACCAAACAAATAGAACAATCAGTCCCTTAGTTAGACTAGCCACATTTCAAGTTATCTGATAGCAGCAGATTGCTAGTGGCTACTACACTGAACAAAGAAAGGATGTAACATTTCCATCATCAGAATTTTCACAGGTAGGGCTGGTGGTACATGCCTATTATCCCAGCACTCAGGAGGCTGAGGAAGGAAGATCACAAGAAATTTGAGGCTAGTTTGAGCTATAGAACAAGACCCTGTTTCAAAAACCCAAAACCAAACCAAAATTCCACCAGAAAGCAAGACTTCAGTCCTGGAATTGTTACACAAAGCCTGTGTAACGTTGGAAAGCTTTATAACCTGCTAACAGCTTCCAGGAGTCGCAAGACTCATTAATAAGAAATAACCAGAGAATAAGGTGAACATAAAAGTGCATGAATATTAAGTTCCTTCACAAGTCAGATAAAATTAGATCTTTAAATTCTAAGTAGAAAAAAACATACTTCTTTTGGAAAAACACTCTGATTTTAACTTTTCTGCTTGTTCTTCAGTTGCTGACTCCCAGGAGGTACATTGAGACGACTGTGTATCCCACAGACACCGGATCCCAGGTCCTGCTGCTACACAAGCTGCCTCACTGCGGTGAGCGTCACACTGCTCCGAGGTGAAGACTAAGACATCACTGAGGAGGAGGCTGTTGAAGCCGCCAAACACGTACATGGTACTGAGAGGAAAGAGAGAAGGAATTTACTTTACTGAAAACACACACAACACATATATAACATAGGGCTGCTTTTGGTTGTTGGCTTTGAAATTTTTGAGACAGGTTTCACTGTGTAGCCCTTGCTAGTCTAGAACTTTCATAGACTTGACTGGCCCTTTTGTTGGGACCATCTTCCTGCTTCTGCCTCTCACATGCTAGGATTTTTATATACCTGTCTTAAACTTTTGACTGTCAGTCTTTAGAAAACTTGTAAGTATTAAAAGTCCTCTGAGGAGACCAGTGAAATGGTTCAGCAGGTTAAGTACTTGCCACACAATTGGACAATCTGAGTTCAATCCCTGAAACCATATAAAGGTGGAAGGAAAGAAGTGACTTCACAAAGTTGACCTCTGACTTCCATATGTGTGCTACACCACTCACATGCTGCCACCCACATTATAAATAAATAAATAATTTTAAGTACTCTAAGAAATTATTTCAAAGCCTCGAAAACCATTACTATCATCCATTCTGTCAAATTTCATCTTCCATCCTGGTTTGTGGTCACTCAGAATAGTTTCAATAATCTACCTGCCAATGTGCTGCATATGGAAAATTAGTACACAGGGAAAGTGGCATTTTAAAAATATTTATTTTTAATTATATGTATATGTGTGTGTGTCCATGCAGATGGATGCCCACTGAGGTCAGAAGAAGGTGTTATAGTCCCTGGAGCTGAAATGGCATCTTCTATTAATAGGAAAAGATAAGATTCTGGGGGCTGGAGCTGACTCAGCAATCAAGAGCGACAGAGTTTGGATTCCAGCACCCACAACAGGTAGCTCACAAACATCTACAACTTTAAGTTTCAGGAGACCTACCTCATTCTTCTTTCCACTGTGGGGACCCACATGCACACACGATTACACACACATACACAAAAAATAAAGAGAATATAGAGTGAGAGAAAATTATAGATAGGAAAAATAGTTCTGAAGACTTTAGCCAACTGAGAAAGCAAGAATTCTATGCCAATGAATAACTGCTTAAGGTCTTTCCCTATTCCTTGATATAAGCACACCATTTTCTAGGAATCTTACAAGAAGCCCCATTTAAAGAAAAACCATGTCCTAAACCTCTAACAGTGCCTGGTTTTATCTTGCCAGTCTGTAATACCACCTAATGCATCTCCAGTGCCACCTCTAACCTCAGTTATCAGAGAGAACAGACGAAGGGTCCCATAGAAACATGCTGCACAATAAAATCCCGAAACCTATATGCAGTCTGAAGTGTGGCTCTTTGTCTAGAAGCCATACTCAGCTTTATTCTTGCCCTGAGCAGTGTCCTTTTAAATCTCTGAACAGTCCGACTGTGCAACATACTGGCTAGTCCTGAGATTCCTTTTTGTATGGAAGACATGAGTCCTGGGGTTGCCTGAGTCAAGGTCCACAAAAGACTAAAGGAATTCCGGGGGTTAGATACTTCAATTAGTACGCAGGAAAAATTAATGCAGATGTCATTATGCATATGAAGAAAAAATTGATTTTAGTCACAGAGAAATGCAAATTAGAAGCACATTGTTGGGCTATTTGTAACCTATCAAACTGGCAAAGAAAAAAGTAACAAATGTTATATAATATTTGAAGTGATGAGACTTCGGGCAATAGGCTAACTCATACACTGCTGCTGGGCATGTAAGATTGTAGAAATCCACATAAGGGATTCTGGCAACTATTGAAAACAAAACTACACATTTATGCTTTTAAGCCTTAAGTCATTTTTCTAGAAATCACATAGATACAGTGCCACAGAGTGATCTTCAGTTTATATTGTTGGGTGTATGGATGGTGGAGGAGTGAGCAAGACAGAGAAAAATATATAGATTATGTAGCCATTTATCTTTTTGGAGAAAAAAGGGTCTGACACACACATAATCTATTCCCCTTTACAAAAACAAGACACACAATATTTCTTTAACTTGCTTTTGCTTGATGGAGATAGGGTCTCACCTAGAACTCTATAGCCTAGACTGGCCTAAATCTTAGGACTTTCAACCTCGAAGAATTCCTCTTATCTCAGACACCTGCGTGCTGGGATGATAGGCATGAGCTACCCCGCTTGACCAACCTGTATTCTTAAAAGACCAATTTAGTGACAATGGAAAAAACTAGGCCTTAGATTGTGTGCTTAAAACTCACTCTTAGAAAAGCAGAATATGTCTGAATTAGATGTTCTTCCCCAAGCTAAACAAACAAAACAAAACAATGCCCTACCATTTCCCTACTCCCTTTCATTCCTTCCCAAACTAGACCTTCCTAGAGAAAAATCTAATTTCATGTCTAGGTCAAGAAATACTTACAATGCATTTATAACATGTCCAGTAGAGACATACCAGGGTTGTCAGACTCAAGTGTTACTACGAAAAGATGCTCATTAGCTAGAGTTAAGAACTACACTAGAATGAAATGAAATACATCAAATATCTTTAAATCCAAGTTCATAATGACATTTGCCCTTCAAAAGAAATCTCCTCTGTTACCTCTGGACTGCAATAGGCAAGGAGCTCTCCCAATTCGCATTTCCTAGATCGCCAAGCAAGTTTAATACTAATCCACAATGAAGAATCTGGTAACTCACTGCACTGGTCTTCAACTTTTCTCTCCAAATCAACAAAGGACTAAACAAAGCATGGTGATTGTGTGGCTCTGTATCCATTACAATATCCGAAAACCAGACGATAACCAAAAAGAAAAACTCTAGGATTCGTTTTTGACCTCGCTACTGGCTCCTGAGTCTGCCATGAATCAAGTGGGTTCCGTTAATAAACCAGCGGCTTCACCTGAGCACAGCTGGTGCCTCTACAGTTCTGAATACTTAGATCACGGTGCAGCTCTGGGAGGGGAGGAGCCTTCTAAGAGGCTTGGAGAAGGCAACTAGGATAAATGCTGCCTCTCCATGTAGAAGCCTCACAGTCTCACAGCCTTCACTCCTTCAACCTCTCTTAAAACACAACTAGAACAATTAAGTCAGACATGGGTGATCAAGTTCTGCTTGCTAAATGATACCAAAAGATCAAAGTTTCTCCTCCAGCAAATTATTTTATACAGTTAAACTGCGACCATGACCTTCTACCATTCCCCACCTCTTCCAATCCTGCCTGAAATTCAACACACCACAAGAATTACACAAAATAAAACACTGTAATCCAGAGAGCTATTCCTGATTTTGATTCATGGCTAAACTACACATTTATGACAAACTGTCAACTTCTCCGAGTTTGCGTAAAACTTACAACTGTTTTAACAGAAGCTTCACTCATTTGATATT